TTGCTTGCCACTGGGGTAGAGGAGAAGAGCCGATGTTGCAATATCGATATCGTCCGAGAGAGTTTGCGTCGCCGAAATTTTGGGCTTTTCAGCTTTATCTCCAACGCCGGGGTCCAGACCCAGAATCGTAAAGGTCAAGCTGTACACGCCAATGTCGAGAAGACTTCCTGCACCCAGCGCCGGATTCTTCAGGCGCGAGTCCGGACCCAAAGATGCGAGGTTCATGTTCATGGCAAAGTCGCAGAAGACGCGGTGAATATCGCCAATCAGCTTTTCCGAGTGCAAGACGTTCAGCAGAGATCTTGTGAGGGGGAAGAAACGCGTCCACATGGCCTCCATGACGAAAACGCCCTTCTTCTTCGCGGCCTCAAACACCTCCCGCGCCTCCTTGGCTGTGATGGTGAAGGCCTTTTCGCATAGTACATGCTTGCCCGCGTTGATGGCGTCGAGGCAGTTCTGCTTATGAAATGCGTGTGGTGTGCCAATATAGATGACGTCGACGTTTGGATCGTTGTAGACCTCCACATAGCTACCATAAACTGTCGGTGTTTTCCCTGGGAGATGCTTCTCAACAAACGCCTTGCCCTTCTCAAGTGATGATGATCCGATGGACTGAACAATGTGCTTGGCCCTCGCGTTCGAGCGTTCAAGTACCAGGTCCTCGACGAACCATGAGGAGATCAGGCCGGTGGCGATGATACCCCAGCGAAGGGTCGGGATCTCGGCAGACATTCTGGAGTCGGAGGTGGTGTGTTCAAGTGTGAAAGTTGCTAATCAGGCTTGCATGGAGGACAGGAGGGAAGAGCAGTCAAGGGGTCACTCGATGTATTTATGAGATCTGGAGGCTGATAAATCACTCATGGCGATGATGCGGATTCGCGGGCCGCACCAGCTATGAAGAATCAGATGCGTTATCATCCGCCCTAGGGATGAAAACACCAATGAGCAAGCAAGCCATTCTGCCAATTTTGCACTAAAAACCACTGAAGAAGCCACAATCTCGACTCCACAAGTTGTCACGATGTTGATGCAGTGGGGGAAGTGGAGAATGCAACGAACAGTTGGCCGACACTCCCCGGCTGACACAGGCTTTTGGGTTGATTTATCTCCGCGTTCCGGCCGGTTCACCTCGGGGCTCATGCACAAAGAGCACTGGTCAAGAGGCCGCTGCTTTTAGAACCACTTGGGCGGGACAGTGACTTTGCGAGTCGTCTGGCATTCGCTCACCTGGTCATCTGCAAGTGTAGACGAAGAGGCTAATTGAAGCCGTCATTTCTACCATAAGGCTCTACATGTTATTCAGCTCAGAGAACATTGATTTTGTACAGGAGGTCGAGCGCTGAACATGGTTACGATAACACAGTCGTAAATACGGGTAAAAGGAACTCGTTGACCGGCTTTTGACCCTCGCCGCCGTCTCCTTACAGCCTAACACTTCGCTCCGTCGGGCCAGTTGGATCGGGGGTCGGCACACAGCCCAGAATATCAAGTCTGATGATTCATGTCACTTTGAGTCTGGAGATGTCAAATTCTCTGAGCACTCTCTGTCATGGGAACATGAAGCATTGTGTTCTGTTCTGCCATGGCCCACATCAAGGGCCGATGTTACCTTGAGATTGCCGGCGAAACCTCCTGCCATTTTCGACATTTCAATCCTGGTCGAATACGAGTTTTGGCTGCCAAGTCAGGGCATTTATATCTTGTCTATCCCGGCAATACATATCAATACGGGCTTCTAGCCAAGATTGATTGAGGGGATTTGCAGAGATGCATATGCCCTTGGGCCCTCGGGCTCTTGGGCTCTGAGCTATCTTATATCAAATGACAGCTTAAAGAGACCACAGCACCACATGCAGTGACGATTCCTGTTGAACTTGTTCGTATCCTGAGCCGCTGCAGTTCTCGAGATGTTGTGGCGAAAGGTCTTTGCATTCGCGCCTCTGGTGGCCATCGCCAGCGGTCATCCCAACGCTCACGGTATCCGGTACTCCAAGCGGGACTCAACACTGGAGGTGACCCTCGCACCTGTGGTATCCGAATCTGGCGCCGAGGTTTCCGCCACCATCAAGAACACCGGCAGCTTAGACCTCAACCTGCTCAAGGTTGGCACCATCTTGGACGACAAGCTTCCTGTCCAGCGTGTGTCCATCGTTGACGAGTCAGGTCAGTAGCGCCACGGTGACGAAAGTTGCCCTTAGCTCACGCGCCAGCAGGGAACGCAGTCTCTTTTAGGGGCATTGACCCAAGCATTCAGTACGATGCGCTGAAGCCAATTCATTTTGAGTCGCTTCCAGCAGGGGATTCAGTGACGGTCTCGATCGACGCATCAAAGGTTCATCAGTTTACGCAATCTGGCACCTACTCTATCACAGCTGAAGGCACAATTCCGATCGCTCTAGCGCCGTCTACAGACTTCTCTCAACCTGCCGTGGCTTTCAAATCGAACACCATCCAAGTTGACGTAGACGCAGATGCTGCCGCAAAGTCATTGGTAGCTGCGGCGCTCAAAGAGCGCACCAACTTACAGCCAGGATGCAATGCGACAACGTTGAACGCCAGCACCAAAGCCCTGGCCAACTGTCAGGTCCTCGCCCTCGCTGCCGCAGCGGATGCAGCCGACCCGTCCTCTAGGCGGTTTGTCGAGTATTTCGGCACCAACTCATCAGAAACCCGCGACATTGTCGTCACTCGGCTTCGTAACGTCGCGCAGGAGTGTAGCTCAACCACTTCAGGAGTGTCTCGGTACTTCTGTTACGATTACTACGGCGTTTGCGAGCTCGACGGTCCTCTCAATGCTTACACGGCCTGGGACGTCAACACCATGGTTATGTGCCCGCTCTTCTTTGGCCTGCCGCCGCTCCCTGTAGGATGCCACCGACAGTGTCAGGCTACGACTACGATCCACGAAACCACGCACTGCGAGGCAGTTTATGCTCCTCACACGGACGACTACGCTTACGCTTACAACGCCAGCGTTGCATTGCCCCCGGAACGGGCTCTGCAGAATGCTGATAATTATTCTCTTTATGCCAATGGTATGCTCCCTTACGTCCCTTTTCTTGCTTGTGATATGAAACGATGAGGACTAATCTTTGGTCCTTGACTAGCTGTTTACATGGGCTGCTAAGGCGTAAGAAGACTTGGAGGGTGACACTAAGTGAGATGAACCATGGAACGCTCTCTATCCTCCGCGTCAGAGACAAGCTTGTCTACAGGCCTCGTAGAAAAAGTCGAGAAGGATCTCATACTTTTTACAAACCATGATGTGAGGCATGTAGACCGAATGAATAAGATGATGATTGAGCCGTCTCGACTTGAGGGAGCAACGCAAACTTACATGAAAGTGGCCGAACTCGGGCCGGCATGCTTCCAGCTCATGCCGAATTTCGCTACTTAGGTAGACATATGAACAACCGACCTATTCCCAATAACATTGGCCTACCACGTGCTCCCATTATGGCCGAAGAATCAGGAACTAGAGCTTGTCGGCCATCTCCGACGATAAATCATCAGCAACATCATCTCAAGCCAATGACATGAAGCCCAGCTCCCCCGCCTCTGTGTCTACCATTTTCCTTATCGCCTGTATCGCCCCGCATACTTCAGCTGTTAAATCGCCCGAATTACCCTCTTGATCTTATAAAATCATCTCTTGACTTGGAGGACGGACTCGATCAGCTCTGAATCGACGTAGTCGTTTCTTAGTGCCAACAAGTCTTCGATGGTTAATTAGCCCACGATGAGCGTTACGACTCTTGCATCTGATCCGGGGACGACCCTCCTGCGTTTCGCCTCTGGGAACGGACCGGTAACCCGCCGCATCCTCCGGACTCCGCTCCGCGATGCTCTTCCTACCGAGATCCCAGTCATCGACGTCTCGCTCGCATCTAGCCCCGAACTTACTGACCGGAAGACTGTAGCCCAGCAAATCCGCGACGCTGCCACGACATCCGGCTTCTTCTACCTGATCAACCATGGCATCGCGTCTTCGGTCACTGATTCAGCCCATAAAGCCTGCCTGGAGTACTTCCGCCAGGATGAAGAGACAAAGATGCGCTCATGGGTTGGGAAAAGTCGCTACTTCAACGGCTACAAACCGCCTGGATCTCAGCGGATCAACAAGTCAGAGAGCGTCGATGTCCGCGAGTCATTCAGCTGGACATACGACCCTCGCCACGACCCTAATGTGGTCGACGTCGATGCCATTCCTGCGGAGGCGAGAAAGCTTCTGCGGATTGAGGATTTCCACTGGGATGGCACGGCCAATCAGCCGCACTTCAAAGAAGCCATCATTGCATATTGGCAATCCTGTCTGAAGCTCGCTCGCGTCCTGGTTCGCTCCTTTGCGCTATCGCTTGATCTACCTGAGGATCACTTTGATTCCAAGTTCGCGTACCCTGATGCTGCGCTGGCGCTGAACTACTACCCGCCTCTCAATTCTTCGGCCACCGTGGATCCGGACTCCAACAAGACAGTTTCCATAGGATCGCACACAGACTTTCAGCTTTTCACCATTCTATGGCAAGACTCGGTCGGGGGCTTGCAGGTACTAAATCGCCAGGGGCAATGGATCAAGGCAGCACCTATCCCTGGAACGTTTGTCGTCAACATTGCCGACTACCTGCAGCGCATCACAAACGATCTCTACGTCAGCACAGTACATCGAGCCCAGAACTTGAGTGGAGAAGAGCGCATCAGTATGCCCTTCTTCTTTGGCTTTGGACTGCATGAAAGCTGTGGTGTGATCGACACCTGCGTCAAGGAAGGGGAGAGGCCAAAGTACGAAGAGATCGGCTGTGAAGCTTGGGTCCAACGGAGAGCTCGGGCGATGCACCAGGTTGATTCTGATGACGAAAACGACTGTGCGCAGTGAATAAACAAAGCGCCAACGGGGTTTCAAATCACCGTTTGCTTCGACATTGGCTCCGTTTGCTTCTCTCAATTTTGATTAACAACTGGGCCGTATCGAGGTTGGAAGTTTGGAACCCCTGCGTGCACTGTGGCTAAGCTTTCGATAGTACCTGGACCGGGGCAAACAAAATTCGAAAGATAAAGGCACTGGAAACCCCTTACTTGGGCAAACTACTTCTACGTTGTGACACATTCATCTGTGGCCTTCCTGTGAAATGCCCAGGGCTATGGATCGGCACAAAGTCTCGGTTACTAAAGAACAAGTGACAGAGCATTCGGCAGGAGATCTTTCGCCAGGCAGTAACAACACAACCATGAGGCCGTACATGGACAGCTCGCGATCATCACAAACTGAGCCAACGAAATTGATTGAGGCAGATCGCTTGAAGTCTGTTCTGCAAAAGTGCATCAAGTCTACACAACGACTACGGCCGCGAAAGCCATCACTCCTCGGAGAGCTTCTCGTCTTGGGAGTGGCAGCAACTATCGCATGTTCTATTCTCATGTAGGTTCTCATTGATAACTCATCATCTTTTAAACCCGACGTGAAGGAAACTCATCCTTCTTTAGCACTCTATTATATGTCTTCGTATTTGTTCTACAGCCTCAAGCTATGAGTGACGCGGCTTCCCAAAACTTCATTTCCAACAACCCGATCACAACGAATGGTCAGCCAGTTGATGGTCTTTCAAGATGGCTGGAGGACTTTTCACGTTCAGTCATCCCAATCATGTGTCATTCTCACAATGATTACTGGAGGCCGTACCCCCTTTACTCCGCCCTCGCAGCAGGCTGTACCGGTGTGGAAGCGGACATCTGGCTGAGCGACGATGGTTCCGACTTGCTTATTGGCCATGACAGACACGAACTGTCCCCTAAGAAAACTTTGCGATCCATGTACCTTGATCCCTTGATGAAGATTCTCGATACCATGAATCCTCCAGAGCAATGGTCGAACTTCAGCCGAACAGATCGCCCGCAGGGTGCATTCCGAAGTCAACCGAACATCACGGTAGTCCTGCTCCTGGATGTCAAGAGTGATCCGTATAAGACGTGGCCAGTGGTGATGGAGCAGCTTGGACCGCTTCGAGAAAAGCTCTTCCTCACACGCTACGAGGTAGTAAATACCGAGCCAGGCTTCAGACTCCGGCAAGACATGTGGCCAGGTCCCGTGACCATCGTGGGCACGGGCAATATCATGGAAGATCGCATGATAAACCACTGGCCAACGAATGAGCTCTATCAACAGTATCACGACACCTTCCTCGACGCGCCGTTGGATCAACTTCCCGAGGACAATTGGCGCCAGTACAATGACCATGGCTACTTTGCCTCTCAGCTGTGGCATGAGAAAGACATCTATTACACATCCGCCTCTTTCCAACAAAGTATCGGATCAGTCCGCACCGGCTTCAGTGCCGAGCAACTTGCAAAGCTACGGAAGCAGATCAGTACTGCAAAGTGGTCAGGTCTCAAATCGCGATATTGGGATCTGCCCAGTTGGCCAATTTCTCACCGCGATTACGTCTGGGAAGTGTTGACAAGAGAGGGAGTCGACATGTTGAATGTCGACGACTTGCAGAGCGCAGCGAGAAGAGGTTGGACAAAGAGCTACGTGCAAAGCGTGATATGGATGGCTTTGACTTCGTCTCTAATCTTTTTCACTGTTATTGCGATGACGTGGTCTGGATTCCGGGCCATCAAAAAGCATATGAAGGGTCTTCGATCTCAAGGTATCGTGCTGGCATAGGGTAGAATGGCACGTTAACGGAAAGTATCAGACTGACTATCCCACGTCTGTTTCTTCATTCTTTAGTAGATGAATGCTGTCGTCGGGAATACCGGATAGCCCGGGTTTACATGTCGCGAATCCACTAGTCAAGCACTTCCATCTGGCGTATCAAGAATGATGCTTATACCGCCACGAGGACGCCAGGGTCAGGCACCACGCATAACAACACTTGGGAACCCATATCTACCGGACAGCGCGTATCTCCGCGGATGTGGTCCATGCGACTTATTCATCGACTTTGAGATGCACCACAGAAAAGATCTACAAGTGGCCCGATTTTCTGCCTTCCAGCCTGTTTTAGTCTTCCGTCATTGGCGACGAACCTGTATCTGTGTATATGATTCGCACTACGTAGTGCGAGATCAGGTTCTGTGAAACAACAGCCCAGGGATATGCCACGCGGCTTAGAGTTTGTAGCAACGTAAGTTGGGTTGGCTCGCACAGAACAGACTATCCTTACTGGCCTTTGCCGAACAGAGTTTCGGCTTTAACCTCGTCCATGAATTGTGAAGACCTCGAATTCGATATGCTCGACCACGGGCCTTTGAGCATCAATGTGACGCACGAGTCAAGTGTTCCTTTTGACTTCGAAGAGGAATTGAGGGGAAGGTCAGCTAAACAGGAACATATATGTTCATATGTCCCACGTGGCGGGTGCCTGTATGTTCTGCCCAGTGGTTACAACCTGACCGACGCCCTTCTTCTTTCAAGAAGTCAGATTGTCATGTCAGCCGCGGCACAACGGGGGACGCTGGCACCACTTCCGGAATATCACCGCCGCGGGTTGATTGTACTCACCATCTTCTCGTTCCTCTCAGCCATAGCCACAACGGGACTCTGGCTTTTCATCACATACAAGTTACTGGCATATCGGAAAACTCGCCCAGACCCCAGGCAACGAAGTACACGACCGCAAGATGCCGATATTACCGATCTACCGGACCTTTCTCTTGGGCTGGATGCCCCTTGCGCAGGTGCTAGCGGATTTGCCCGGATTGAGGAGCTCGATAGACTAGCAGCGTCACAAGAGCAAGCGGCAGAGGCTGCTAGTGCTACTGGGGATGGAGAAGAGCAAGGGGCTGAGAGAGCTCGCAATCCTTTCCCCATTCTCATTTATAATCTCCTGCTAGCAGATATGATGGAGGCTGTTGCCTACGCACTCAGTATATCCTGGGTCTCAGCTGACGGCATCTTTGCACCTTCGTCAGTCTGCTGGGCTCAGGGCTGGCTGGGGTCGACCAGTAACTTAGCAGCAAGCCTGTTTCTAGCGGTCATTTCGATCAACACCTTTTTGACAGTGGGCTTGGGTTACAAGCCACCACCATGGACCATTTATACTTCGATAGGGTTTCTCTGGATATTCGACTTTGGTATCAATGGAGCAGGCGTAATATTTTCGGAGATCCACCCAGCAGTTCCTCAGGAGTCTTTTTTCATGCGGGCCAATGTCTGGTAAATAAGATCTAGCACCCCCTTTCTTTGATAACAGCGGCTTCGGCTCCCGAGAGTTCTCACACTAATTCAAAATTGGCACAGGTGTTGGATTTCTACATCCTATGATTCGTGGCGGTTTTGGGCACATTATTTTTGGGTCATCGTCTCCATCGCCCTCACACTCAGCCTCTATTCCTTCGTCTTCTTTACCCTATGGCGTCAAAACCGAAGTTGTCGTCATCTGCCGGAAAAGAGAGCGTCGCAAAGCGAAGCTTCCGAATCAGGGTTCGAACCCGGTCATAGCCTGGAAGTTCGACGGCCCTCAGGCTACCACCCGGCCTTTCTTGCATACCCTTTCGTATACGTCGCATGCAGCACACCTTTAATCATCGGCCGCATTGCTTCTCTACTGGGAATTGACCTTGGAATATTATATTTTGCCTTCGCCGGGTCCATCTTGGCTGCAAACGGGCTCTTCAACTCAATATTATGGATAACAACCATTGTGTTTAGCGAGCCACAAGACGCACATAATACAGGCTTGGATCAGTTCGCCTTTGTCAGAACACCAATACGAGATTATGGACACACTGTAATCATTAGCGGCCCTGTTAGTAGAAGAGTGCCTGAGCCAAGTATCGTTCCTAGCAGCGGTCGCAAGGAATGGTGGTGGTGGAAACATGGTGGGCAGAGAGGCTGGGGAAGATCGTACGCCAACATGCACGAGACACCTAGGGTGAGCGCGGTTGAAGTGCACGATCGTACATTACCAGTCATTGTGGAAGGTCCGTATATCCAGATGGATATCGTCACAGCCGTTACCATTGAGCAAGCGGAGATCCAACCGATACCCCTGGGCAGGCATCAAGAAACCTACCCACCAAAATAGTGTTTTGGTTTTGACATTTCCTAAATAAGAAGATTTGAGAAAATTGTGAAAACAACGCGAATTGATACGAGATCCCGACGTTTGAGTCTCTTTCAAAGTGAGGTCTCAAGACTTAGTGAAGAATCAGAAAGACTAGAACACAGGATAGCTATTCAATACGAATGTCATTTGAGACTTAACAGCCCTCTCCATACTAGCCATCAAGGCCCTCGTCGATCATGAAAAGGTATGCAAGTAGAGAGAAACATGATTGAAAGCAAGAAGTTTCATGACTTAGTCTGGCAAGATTCCAAGCTCTTTGGAGAGTGGAAGATGCCTTCGGTATCACCAAATGGTCTGAAGACCACCCGCCCCCAATGAATGAACCCCAACTCAAAGCAGCGAGAGAGCTAGCCAAAAGCAACGAAAATCCCCATTAGTTTAGTCGGGTGGACCCTGGTATCGGTTTCGCATTTCCTCGCCTTCATAACTCCGCTACTCCCCGCGCTTCTCATTTGGGAATCGTTAACCATTTCCATCAAGGCAACAAACACGTTGCAAACGAATCATTGTCGAATTTGGTATCTGAGTAGATATCCCTCCCGTATCGGTATTACTCAAACCCCACAGAGGACCCTGTGGAACATCCCACAATGTCCGACGCAGGAAACGAGGCGCCTGAAACGTCGAACAAGCGGCGCCGGACCTCGGGCATGTACCAAAGACGGCGTGCTGTTGCGGCGTGTGGGCCCTGCCGGGTCCGTAAAACGAAATGTGACAATGTCCGGCCAGCCTGCGGCTTCTGCCAGCGGAACGGCGGCCAGTGTACATACCCCGACACATCGAATGACTTTTCAACGTGAGTGCTCTCTCGATGTCTGTAGGAATTGGTCGAGGCCAACTTGGTCTTACTTGGAGTACAGATTCGATCCCGCGAGTTTGGCAATCTTAGACCGTCTCAATCATGTTGTTTCTCTTCTCGAGGCTCGTCCAGAACTACCAGCCGAGAACGTGGTTGCCGCTCCCCCTATTCCGTCAATATTATCGCCAACATCGCTCCAGGGGCCTCAAACTAGTACAAGCGTCACTATTGACGAGAATCTAAGTCACTCTCCTGACGGTCTACCTGAGGACGAAGTCATGATCCGCCTCGACATCCCAGACTCTGCGGCTGCCAGGTCTAATTGTGAGGCCATCCTGCGATGGCCAATCTTTAGGGGATATGCGCCCGAAACGGAGTCTTTTATCTTAGAGTTAGAGGATGGTGATGCAGAGTCTTCGCATCAATCTCAACCTCTCAGAAGCCGGAACCTTGGGCGGGGAGTTCAGGAAGACGACTTTACAGTACTGTCCAAGAAGTTCTTGGCATACGTGCATGTGAAGAATCCGGTTCTTGACGTGAGTGACTTCAAAGCGTACGTCAAGGATACAGTAGAAAACGGTCCTCGCTGGGACGGACCTTCTTGTTTGGTGGTGAGTTCTTGGCCTGATTTATATTCTCATCACCTTTACCATGCTGACGAAGTTTCCTATTGAGCTGATTGCATGTGCACTCGCCTGCCTTGCAAGCCCATTTCAATCCGAGATCAACTTCAATAGTACGCCCGAATCGATGCGCTCGTCAGTGTCGGCTACGGCGGATCCAGATACAGCCCAAGCCTACTACCTCGCAGCCAAGAAGCGGTTGGGATTACTTGAGCCTTCTTTGCTTCAGATCCAATGCTTGTTCTTCTGTGCAGTCTTCGAAATGTACTCACTTCGTCCACTTCAGGGCTGGTTCTATTTCAATCAAGCCAGCGTTCAGTTCAAGAACCTATTCTGGCGGAGGGCCCAGAGGCGGAATTGGCAAAGTGTTTCTCAGAAGACGCGGCGCCTCGAGCAACGACTTTACTGGTCGTGCATGAAGTCAGAATGGTAAGCCCAGCAGGAATCTCCTCTTCTAGATGAAGGAAAACCCGGCTGACTCTCGACACCCAGCGAGCTCAGATGTGAGATACCGTTGCCACCCAGTGGCATCACTGGTCTAGGATATCCAGACTTGTTCCCCTCACCTCCGTCTGAAGTCGCATCCCCTGCAGCTCAGCCAAGCGCGTTAGATATCTTGGAAGATGACATACAGCCAGAGGAGGAGAAGAGTTGGTTCTACTACCTGGCTGAGATATCGTCGAGAAGAATGATTAATCGTGCTATATCGATATTCGGATACAATGGAGAGCAGGCATGGATCCGAGATATAGCCAAAGTGCTCGAGAAGAGCGAGGAATTTGACGAGCATATCAACCTCTGGTAAGAATCTCCTTATCGCCCGGCGCGAGTTCGTGTTTGGTCCGAAACGGTCGCTAATGCATGCTCAGGTGCTTGCACATACCCTCTCAGATCCATTGGCAAAACCGAGAGCCATCAAACAATGAGCTGGTACACTTTATCCAGAACCGAGCCACGAGCTGCCGCGAATGGATCCATCGGCCTTTCTTGTATTACGTGGTTCATCAACCGGCGGACGACCCTTGGATACCCCGCGTCATGCCATTAGCAGAGAAGTGCCTCGAGCTCTCACTCGAGCTGCTTCTGGACGCTAACCCTCACCACCGTCATCACGGAACATGGTTCATGGCCAGAGCGGCAATGACCCGTGCTCTCTTACTTCTGACCGCAGTCAAGAGCGGCAGGTTCTCTCGGCTGCCCGAGCGATGGAAACAGGGAGTCGACGCGGCCACATGGGCTCTTCAGCGGTGGTATGGCGAAGCTCCGGATTTGCGTAAGGCTGCGTCTGTGCTTGAGGATCTCGTCGGTCAAGTTGTCGGGCCCGGAGTCTGAAAGGGTCTGTGGGGAGCTGCAAATGGAGTGGTCCGACGCCAGTACTTGTCAGGCGTCGCAATGGGTTGTCAGTCAATTAAGCGTTCTTTGGGCTCTTCTCAACCCCAACTCGACCTAGAACTCGGACATGTGAAGGAAGGGTCCGCAGGTCCTTGGCATTCTCGCCCTTGGTAGGAGGAGAAGTAAGGGCGAATAGGCGAGCAAAGAGCAGAGTAGGCCCCGAGCCCTTGTACATACTTTTTGTTACTTCGGAGAAACACTTGAGCGCTTTGACAGTAGACATTAGCATCAGTCCGGGGGACTCTCTGTTTTACGGGCAATGCGCCTTGTATCACTTTATTGGGCAGTAGTCCGTAGAGCTGTACCCGTAACTTTACTTCTCCTGTTTTTCGATATGAATTGTAATTCTCAGCAAACGGCGTGGCAACTGAATGTTGAAGTTGTATTGACATGTTGGCTCTCAGTGACCGCGGCTTTTGTCGGCTGGTTGTCAGTGGTGTTGGAGGTCAAGGCGTCTTTCTTTGGGCCAAAGTCTGTCTGCAAAGACGACTCAAAGCCGAATGATGAAGGACCTGAACTTTCACCAAGCTGCAGCTAAATGCTCAGCTTCCTTTGGAGAAACATACGTCAAGTACATTTGTTGTCAAAGACCTCGGCGTGGGGGCTTCCTGTGGCTAATGAATACTCCAAAAGTAGTTTCCTCTTCCATTGTTCTCTTCAGGACACTCACTTACCGGAACAAAAATGGCAGAATGCAGCGTTAGCTTGAGGCCCCTTGACGCCATCATCCAGTCAGGTCCTGCATTTGCGCTTCCTCTTGTGTTCTCCTAGTGTCTTAGGCTGCAGGGCGCATGCCACTTCCTCCCCCCTCCCCCATGTGATTATCTGAGACCCTTGAGCGAGCTCTCGCCCTCCATCAGTTAGCCCCAGGGGGCCACGTGTGGCTGGTGCTTACCAGCGTCATCCACGCAAGCCTTGTTCGATTTGGATCTCGTTCCCCGGGGCCTCCCTCGCACTGCTCCGGTTGCATCCCGCTATCGCGCATCGTTTAAACTTCTTCGCTGGGCCCAGGCCGACCAGCTGTCAGCCTAGCTTCGTTTCGTCTACGTCTTGTCCGGCGTCTGTCCCCTTGGGCATCTCACTTCCGTCTCTAGACTCTACCGAAGGTGTGGATCTTACCATTTCATCGTCGGCCGTTGCATCTACTGTCGCATCCGCTGGTCTCCACAACTCTCAACTTCACTCCGAGTATCGAAGTGAACGATAGCCTTGCTGGTCAACGTGGCAATGATAGGAAGAGGCATAATGAGTTTCCCATAGCTGTCGGCTGAACCCGGGCTGCCTCGTCCAAAGTAGTGAATGTCGGAAGTTGCCTTACGCTGAGTCGACTTCACCTTTGAGCGGGTTTTCCCATTTACAAATTCGGAATTTGGGGGTGTGCCAAAAACGCTATAGACGCAACCAAGAGTAATTCCATTCCCATCTTCAGATGACGCTTCCGCTGACGAGGATAGCAGTTTCCTATTGGCTTGTTGGTTTGCTTGACTCTTACCTGCACCGAAAAATTACAATTCCGATGAAGAGCCTGGAATTGGCAAAAAGCCAAAAGAGGTGAGAGGGCAAGGAGGGGTAGGACACCGATAAATGCAAGTCGCGTGGCCGAGCGTTTCTCTTTACCTGGGAGTATCTGGATAAAGCTGAGCCACACCACTTCACAGAAAGTTGGGATGAAGCTATTGTCACGCCTCACGGGGTCCTTGTTCCACTCGGCCTCCTTCACCCGGACATGTTCTCTCACATTCACTCTGACCTCCTTTCAAACCGCCCTTTCTCTCAAAAGACCTCACGCAGCCTTCCCCCTGCAGCTCCTCCTTTTCCTCTTTTCTCTTTTACACTTTCGCTCGGTACCTGCAGCTACAGTACCTACTTGCAACTTACAACTTGCATCACCACCACAACACAAACGAGACCATTCCCGAGGCTCGGCATTCTGCTCCAGACATCCGACCCAGCGACTCGTCGATCCAAAGCCGCATCAGCAGGGCAACAAGTGCCTTTTGCCTTCCTGAAGCCGGATCATAATGTCCTTCTCATCCTCGACTTCATCATCAAGGCACTCGTCGAGATCATCGAGATGCAGCTGCGACAGCTGCGCGGAGTACAGATATGAGAGAACATGCCATGTCGACGGCTGCTCCAGAAAGCATGCTTTCATTCGCAACGATCCCCTGAGACCGGATATCAGAATTTACTCTGATTTCTGCGTTGATCGTCAGTACAAATCTTACCTTCGGCCGAAATCGCACAAGCTAACACTTCCTCCTCAGATACATGTAAATTCTGCGTGCTTGGTTTAGAAATGTGCAATCGTCCCAAGGATCCTCAGCATCGTTTCTGCAGTGAACGTGAGATTACTCCTCACCCTCATGTTGCGATTGTCCCTAACATGCAGAGCAGACCGGAGATGCGGAGTGGTGGGCTGCGTTCGGACCGGAGATTGCCCCTCGAATGTGCCACTCCCGTGGATGTGTCCGGACCGTGAGTTCTGCCCACTAACACCACGTCCGAAGCTATGACGTTGACATGCATCTTGGATAGACAAATGCTTCGTCGAGGACTGCTACAAGACTAGAGACAAGCTGTATGGCTACTGCGCCGACCATCGATGCCGAGTCGGAAGCTGCTTCGAGAGGAGGATATCCAACTCCGAGTTCTGCGCCGACCACCACTCGCGAATTTGCCGAGAGCTGAATTGTCGAGAAGTCATTTACGCAGACCATCGTTGCTTCAATCATCAACGCTGCATTGTCAAGAACTGCAAATTCCACCGCTTCAAACGTCCAGATGGCGGTCTCTGGGACTTTTGCGAACACCGTGAGTCAACTCCTACTTACAACCCCGGTAGTTCGAGAAACTGACAAGCAAGTAGACTACGGCGAATTCCGCTGCACGTACAAAGACTGCGATAAACTGACGATTCCTGGCACTCGCTCCTGCGCCATCCACAAGTGCACATTTGAGGGATGTGTCAACTTCCGAGACAACGAGCTTGACAAGGAGAGAGTGTTCTGTCGAGACCATGGATGTGGTGCATCGAGATGTTATGCTGTCGCCGTCGCCATCGACGGAGGCGGATTTCGTCCCTTTTGCCGGAGACATACTTGCACGATAGCTGGCTGCAACGAGGTTTCCGAGTTTGGTGTTCATTGTCACAAACACCGATGCCACTGGAAGAGCTGTGAAAAGCCGTGCCTGAAGGGAGGAGAGTACTGTGGTGATCACGAGTGCAAGAGACCTGGCTGTCGCAAGATTGCCCGACTGCAGTTCGGATACTGTGCAGATCACTGCTGCAAGATTGACGGCTGTATCAATTACTGCGACGTTACTGCAGACAGGATATGTTACGAGCACTCGAGAGGCGACCTCTTCGATCGCATCAAGCATCTTGAAAAGAGGTTGAGAGAGCGGCAACACGAGCACATCCACGAGCATCATGATCACCACCATCCGCATTTCGACGACATGCAGATTCGCTATGACAAGTTGATCAGAGACTACGACGAATGCCTCATCAGGCTCAACGAAAGCAGGGAGGAGATTCGCATTCTCCGGACCACGTTTATCTCACCGGACGACAACCGCATCTGGCGAAAGGAACTGGAAGATCGCAACGCTCGCTTGTTGCTAGATCTGGACCGAGAAGTGAAGAGGAGCGAGCATTGGGAGCGCAAAGCCATCGAGTTCGGCCGGAGGATCGACGATCTCGAGGTTTTATTGGCAGAGGAGCGACTCCGACATCCAAAGTCGGATGAATACGTTAGACAAATCGCAGATCTCGTACGCAAAGTCGAGATTCTCGAGGATGAGTTGCGCATCGAGCGCAACAATCATCATATTCACGAAGGACGACAGCGCGAGATCGAGAAGCTCGTCCGCACGATTGAGGAGCTTGAGCGAAAGCTCAAGGGCGATCATATCAAGGTGGATGAGCTCATCAAGAAGGTGGATCTCCTGCAGTCGATACTCGCTGGCGAGAGAGAGCAAAAGGATATTCTTCTTGCTGAGCTTGCCAAGCGGGATGAGTATGAGAGACTGAGGCGAGAGGAGCGCCGTCGACCTAGGAGAGGAAGCTGGGAGAGAAGATCTCGCGACTCGCGGCCTTGGGGAAGTGTCTTCTGAGAACGAGAATGAACAGAGTGTACACGACTATGAGAAAAGAGGGCCATCGGTGGTTTTTTCATAGGATTCTGAGGTATTGGCTTACTTGCATTTGGCGTTGGTACCAGGGAGTATTCGGGAAAAGGACATGCGATACCCAAAATTGCCGCCTTGAAGGACCAGGCAATAAGTAGTCATAAAGAGCAATAGAGACAACATTGAGTGACTCATTGAAGAAGCATCGATATGATGAATTGGTAAAATTCGCAACGCTTGATTATGACATGGTTTACCTTATGATCTGTTACTTTTGTTGGGTATTATGAATGCTTGCCACCAACAGGGGTTTTAGAATAGTTTGTAAGGTGTGGACATTCCGATCTGACAGTACGTATTCATGAGCACCTTGATTTCGGCAGAATAACGCGTTGTTTATTCTCCTTGTTCAAAGGTCTCCAGTCAAGACTCGACGGCCAGAGACGAGAATTCTCTCAAGGCTCTGGAAAGAAAGAGTTTGTGCTGACAAAGGAAGACTCTAAGTTGTCTTTGTAGGCATCGAGGTCACTTGAAGAACAATTCTCTTCAGGACTTTACGATGAGGAAGAGTATTCAGAAGTCACATCTATAAGAGTATGATAGCAGTTCGAGATCTCCCGTGTTTGTTGGTCTAGAACATCATCAGACAACTTGCAAACATCAGACTTCAGTTTACACTATCGTCCAACTTTTCCAAAGTCCTTGAAACGTATCTCGCAATCCACAAGTCCGCGATCACCGTCAATATGTGTCAACGCCTCGAAATCATCTACTATTGCCCTTGCGGCAACACCGCCTGCCTGCGTTCCAATGAGCATCCTATGACGAAAGAGGTCTTCGCCCCAGGTCAAGGGCACGTAATAAGTGTCGATGTCAAGGGTAATTGGTTCCGTTGTTCCGCATGGGTTGGACATGAACCGCGCAAGACCGTCTTCAATCCTGCAGTGAGCTCAGAAGGCCGCTGTCCGCATGCGCGCTGGTTGCACCACTTTCATTGCGAGAAGGTCTGCGATGCCTGTTTGCAAGAGCCGGCCAATGTTGAAGCCGCAAACATCGGCTTTGCTTGTGAACAATGGGGTGACCATCCAGTTGCTGTGCCTCTAGAATACATGCCAGCTCATCTGAGAAGCGTACTGTCGCATTGTAGAGTTGATGCTAACGGGCCTCTAATAGGCGATACTTTTAGCACCGAAGCTCAGGCGAGCAGCAGCAGCAGTGATTCCCAACTATCGAGTTCAGGAACTTCAAGCAACGGACCGAATATGATATTGCGACTGCGTGAAAAGACTCAAGAAGTCGACAGAATGTATGGAGGCCTGATGTTGCTTCCCTCAAACTCTCCATACCCTCAAATCATCGGTCTCGAACGCAAAGACAATTATACCACTAACCCTTTCGATGTCGTAGGATTCGGTGGTAGGATCCGGGATTCAAGTGACCTTTGGAGTCGAGTCAGTCCCTACGGTTCTGTTGGGGCTGAAATGGATGTCTACCGTCATGCCCGATTTATACTACCGCCTACTCCGGAGATTCTTGGACAAATTTCGGGGAGCGTCCAAGCCGCCATAAGGGCATCTGAAGTTCGCGGAGGAAGAGGAGAAATGAGGACCCCCAGCCCCGTACCTCGCCCTTCCATGAGCCAGGAGGAACTCTATGCGAGAGGTTTAGCAGACAGCTGGGTACAGAAGCGAAATGATGGCAATCAGTAGCGGGGGTTACTTGAATGATATTTTCTACAGGAAAGAATTGATCTATTTCCAAAAGTACTTGCCCTGAGCCGCAATGTTCCCAAGTTCGAATTTTATTATCGTACAAGCGTGATATCATTCCAAAATTAACCTAAACAAAGTGAGAGTCCGGTATCTTTTGGCTCGATCAAAACGCCCTTCGCCATACGTGATTGCTTGGGTTGAGTACATAGGGAGTAACGCAAGAGTGCTCAGAATTCGTCATCGTGGAAAGCGTCGTCCGACGATTCGTCCGAGGTTCTGACCAGACGGCTTGAGTCATCTTTCGAGTCCAAATTGAATGGGGTTCTTCCAAGTACCATCTCCAGAATGATAGCAAATGTTACCAAACCCAGGACCATTGTCAAAAGTCCAAGCAGCTGAGTCGTGAGCCAGCCGTAGTCCCCGTTAATAGCAACCCAGACCGGGAAGCAGATGAAGCCGTAGATACCGCCAACCGACATTGGGGTCAGGAAGAGCACGGCGAGAACCTTCCGGCCCACGAGGTAAGACCGGTAGCGGTAGGCGAGTGCCGTGGCAAGAAAGACGCCAATGGAGTTGGGAGCCATCCACCACCAAGGGAATCTGTTGATAACGACCAGTGGCTGGTTTCCGTAGTAGTGATAAACTCCCATTGGCAGAAGAATCTCCTCTACGATGAGGTCGGAGACCATCATTAGGCCTAGGAAATACCACAGAGTCCTCGTCGAAGTCTTGTTGGTCAAAAGTTGGAGGTTGATCTGCATCAACGAGCCGTATCCGAACCAGATTGGTATCCACGGCGGCATCTCACGACCAAGAATGTGCAAAGAAGCATTGTGGCCGCTCCATGGGTAGTAAATGCATCCCAGAACGTCGATGAATGTCTCGGGGAACGCGATCATAGCGCCGCTGAGCGGTAGAACCAAAGGCAAAAAAGTGCGGGAGCGTAGGGCGTCTCTCGCGCCGAGAAGCACTGCTGAAAGTCCAATTGCTGTCATGAATGCCATGCAAATGATGTTGCTGGTCTTGTTGTATGGAAGATCTGTTGGTGGTCGAGGAAGATCAAAGGCTGGGTCGATGTTGAAGTCCATGCTTCCACGTTTTGGAAGTTCATGGAGATATGAACCGATGAGAGCTACGACTGTGAGACCAGCAATGCCTGGTACAATCAAGTTGCGCGACGGTGACATCTTGGATAGATGAGAGGATGTCATATCCGAATCGATTTGAGGAATGGTGATGTGGGTGATGTGGTCCTATAGTCAAGGTGATGTGTAGTGAGAAGTGTGAATTAGTCTTGGACGAAACCCGAGAATCGGGCCTCTCAAATACTTCATTTCGTAGTCACCTGATCGTTGAGTGGTAACAACTCGACACCGAGCTTTCTTCTGGAATGAAGTGTGTTGCGGTAGAAGTTTCCGGTGAAATAATCTTGGGGCATAGGCTGTTGACAGTTATTCTTCAACGTCGAGACTCGTCCCCGAGCTTCCCCTTTCGGAAGTGTTCACTAACTAATCCAGCCCGTGCTAATGACAGTAGATAGCAGAATCGTCGAAACAAAGGGCACTGCCTCGATGTATTGAAGAAACGAGAGTCCACATGTTTGAAATTGAAACTTTGCCCGCGTCCAGACGCCAAAAGCTCGACTTAGATGGGCAGTTTGGTTTGCTTGTACATGGCTAATGCTATCTCGGGAATTAGCACCATTCACTCTCAGAACCGGGGTTTTACCTAATAATGCTCAACCTGCTGCTTGAGCACACAAGGGACAGCACGGGTACCATATCCGATTCTACCTCATGCTAAGGCAATCGCCACTGACAAGATTGAGCTTACTGACATTTCAAACTTGAAGTCGTTCACACCCACAGATTAAGCGCTTGACTGAGGACCGCTTTCCAGAACCACGGATGGCAGCGTCACTTGCAGGATCCAACCCCGAATTGCGGCGAAATGCATGGTCTGGCCATGCACAATGAGCCCACTAGGGACGGCTACATGCATTCGCTCCCTGTTGGCCCATTCTCCACCTATGATAGTTGAAGCCGGGGAAGCAATCTCCTGACGATGCTCCACTTCGCTCGAGCAGCTGATTAGAGCAGACACCGGAGTATTAGCCATGCTGGGGTCAACCAACGACTTTCAGCTTGGCAGAGGGGCCCATGAATCCTTCGAAATGAGACCTTTAAAACTGATTGCAGCCCTCTCGTATGACTTCTCTGTTTCTTTCAATCTCAGTGATCACCTGTCACAGAAAGCAACTGCAATCAATAATTACATCCTACTGGTATCCAGTCTCTGCCGCCAGCGAAGAAGCACACACACTTACGAACTCTGTCTCGCTCCGGATCCTGAGTCAAATTGTTGAGGTCTTCCTTTCAGGAAATGGCATCATTGCTTACTCTACCGCTGGAGATCTTGCAACAGATCTTAGCCGAACTCGCCGACAACCAACCAGAACCACCCAGCTTGGAGTACACTGTCCCTCTCTTCAGTTCCAATACAACCTCGGCTATACTCTGCCAGACATGCCGCAGTCTCCGTGAGATTGCTGAGCCAGTCCTTCATCGACACATTTACATGCGAAGTGCGAGTGTGAAGAGGTTCATATCACTATTCAGGTGCTGGAAAGCGCGGCCTCACTGCGCTCAGTACACTCGAAGACTCACAATCGAGGCAAGATCACGACGCCATGAAGGGTTTGCCTGGCGTGCAACAACGCGTCTGATTGATCTTGAAGATGCCGATTTCGTTTCTAGCATCATCCGAGATGTAGGCCTAAAGATACGATCCGATTGGTTCGAGCATGACTGGAACATCAACGTCTTGGTGGAAGTAGCCATGTTGCTGGCACAGAACGCCGAATCCGTGGAGTTGTTGTTCCAAGACCAACGCGGCGTCTATCGACAACCCTTTGACATGATTCCTCCGGACAAGGCAACGAAGCCCATCCTCTTCAATAATCTTCGACACCTGCACCTGATGCAACCAGGCCCTAGTTCTATGGACGAATTCAAGTCTATTTTGGACTGCACACCAAACCTTCAACGACTTCGGCTTGATTTTTGCGGCAACCCCATGTCCGTCTTCACCCTTCCGCCCAATCTCACCAGTCTCATTCTACGGCGTACCAATCTCGGCGCACGGCAATTTCAATCAATGACCTCAAATTTCACCATACTACGCCATCTGGAGCTTGATTTAGACGGCTCCTCACGAGAAAAGTCTATCTTGGAGGCCATTGCAAAGCATTGTAGCACTTTGACGAGTCTCATATTGATATCTGGCAAAGCTCTGCCCTTTGCAAAGCTGAAGAATCTCCACAAACTCAAATCTCTTACCACAAGCATCGAGACTGTCCAGCCCGAGGACTTGTTAGGCTCGGTTCCATTTTCTTTGCGTGACTTATGCATTTTGGAAGAAACGAATGGCGGGACTATGCATCGACCTGAGGCGTGGTTCAAAGACTTCAACGCTGACTTGGACGCACGATCGGGAACCCTACCTCAGAACATGGTCATCCATAAAAGTTTGTACTCCAGGAGGATCAATTCTGTGCCTACTCTCACTTCTTGCAACAGGGATTATGTTCTTTGGCAGAAGATGAGCGAGTGAAGTCAGTGACAATGCCACTACAGTCCCGGCGACTTCTGCTCGCCGCAGTACGTAGTAATTCGCCAATTCTAAGCATATGATGTTTGACTCGTAGACGGAATCAGAGAAAAGATATTCAGATGTGTGTAAAGTAAATACATGTACATTGAAGAAGCATGGTAAGAATACGAGCGGCGCGATACTAGCAAACGTGCTTAGTCATCATTCCCCAGCGCCATTCCAGAAGTCGTTCCGCTGAATCGTCTTGGTTCCCTCATCAAACCAAATCATCGACCACCGATATAGGAGGGTCGAGTAGACCATGCCTCCTGCACCAGACATTGTGGATGTTAGCCATGCAAATGAGGACCAGATCAGTCTCAGATCTCCCCGCAAACCGCGTAGAGCTGGCATTTGGGCTCTCCTCGCACTGGTGCTCCTGGTCAATCTGGCCGCCAGTCTCTACCAGCTTCCCCTCAGCAGAGTCATTGAACGCCGCCTCTGCCGCGAGCACTATGCACTTACAGATCCTTCGGTGATCGACAAAGATGGCAACGTTTCAGAGGGTCTTTGCAAGGTGGACGATGTGCAGCAGGGCCTTGCCTGGATCCAAGGGACCATGGAAACGGCATGGATCGTGGGTGGTAAGCACGCAGGGTTTCACCGGCAGGCGGTCGCTCCTCGACTGACGCCTATTCAGATTTCATCATGACGATTCCGTTGGGGTTCCTCGCGGAGAGGTACGGTCGGCGGTCCATCCTCTGCCTCAATATTGTGCCCCGCATCATCTTGTTGGCGTGGGCCGTTATCGTTGGGTACTTTGAGCAGACCTTGCCGACTAAAGCCATGATCGCATCCCCGTTCTTCTCGATCCTAGGCGGTGATTGTGTCTTCAACTCGATCACATATGCCATCGCTTCCAATATGACAGACGACCACGTCCTGAGGTGAGTAGGTCACTGACCTGACATCGCCCATTACCCTGGCTAACTAAGGTGACACAGGGCCACGTATTTCGGATGGATGAGCTCTGTGTCGTATGTCGTCAACTTGCTTGGCCCAGCTCTCGCATCAGCATCTATGAGTCTTCTTCTCTGGCTTCCGTTCTGGATTGGGATCGCCCTCCTTCTTCTGGCCATTCCCGCTGTTTCCCTCCTGGAGGAATCACCCGACAGCCACCCTGACGCAAACGACCAAGCGAGACCTCTCCTCTCATCCCCAGTGCTGAAAGCTCAAGACGCCGATTCATCCCTTCTGAGATCTATCCTCCAGCGCTTCGGCGTCTTGAAGTCTATCGTTGCAAGTCATCCTCGCAACATGACCCTCCTGCTCATCAGCTTTGTCCTCACCTCGCTCGCAAGCTCAGACACCAAGTTGCTTGTGCAATACATCTCGAAACGCTACCACTGGACGTTCGCGTCTACAGGCTATCTCCTCTCTGCCAAAGCCATCGTCAACTTCACGCTTCTCACGGTCATCATCCCTGCCATTCTTAGGTCGAGACAAAATAGGTCGCGGCATATTCCACCTGAGCTGGCCAGTCACCGGATGAACATACACTATGCCAACATCTGCTTGATTGTCTCTATCCTCGGTGCTCTTGCGATTGCCGTAGCGAGCCGTATCTGGATGATGGTACCCTCCCTGTTTCTCTACGCTCTCGGCTCAGCGCTGCCGGTATTCACGCTATCACTGCTCAAGTCTCCCTTCATCTCACCAAAGAGAGACGACCAGCCTGTCAACTCCGCGGACCCAGAGTCACATATCTTCTCGATTGTTATGATGGTCAAGACATCAGGATCGCTTTTAGGCGCACCACTGATGATGGTTCTGTGGGTAAAGAGCATATCGATCGGCGGTGCAGCTCTCGGCATCCCGTACCTTGTTTCAGCCAGCTGTTATTTTGCTGCTTTGCTCGTCTTAGGTCGCATCAGAACGGAGTAATGCAGTATTCATTCCGAAATTGAGCCACCATAGACACCACAGCACAGCCCCACATAGAGTTCTCAAGCTATGGATATCACGAAATGCTTACAAGACGACTGACATAGACGACGGTGAGTCTAGAAGGCGGAAGATCTAAGGCATGGTACACCTGAAACCCTCGGCCGAGAGAACGCGCAAGCTCTCTGCACGCGGATGCAACCCACCACAGATTGACTGAACGCTGACCCCGGACACGTATAGCCAGGTGGCTTTCACCTGAGTATTCAATTCGCAATCGCTTCTAGGTGGTTCCAGTTCACGACGGGCTTTGCCAAGAGCCCATCAAGTACCTCAGCATCTATGACCTCCATTGCCAGCACAATATTCGGTATAGTGAGCTTCTCTCTAAGCACAAGATGTTCGTCCGACCGATCGGCCGCCGTGGAGACCGCGGAAACCGTGGACTCTCCGGCACCTGACGGCTCTAGCTCCGGACCCTCGGCCGCAATACTGGGGTTCGTGACTCCGTTGCCCCGGACGGTTGCGATCCTCATTTCCAAGTGCAATCACCTTTATTGCCCACCCGAATCATCCGAATGGAGAGTTCTAGGTATAGCTACACGAACGTTGAGGAGTTGTCTTGGACCAAGAAATGCTCTGCAGGCCAGGGAGAGGAGACATTGGTTCCACAACCCCTGTCGCTTCAAGCGGGGGACCTCCGTCGTACTCACCGATGACTGCTTACAGTTCAGTTCAAATAGATCAAACAGTCAATGGCATCAGAGACATGGGTTTTGATCCTTCGATTGCTTACCCTCCAGTTTCCTTATATGATGTTCCTCTCACTTCTATACGTTTATCCCATGATTCTGTGATCGGGTCGCTGAGATCCATCTTGCGACATCAGCCCAACATGATGCGCTCCAATGTAGTGAGAGGTACCAATCTTACACGCCTCCGACCAACTCCAAGTTTATCACTACACCGCTGCCGGTCAGTCCTCCAACCAAACCGTCGCTTCTCAGAGAAGACACCTTCCACAGCAGACGAACAAGTTGACATCCTCATAATCGGCTCCGGCGCAGGCGGTCTAACAGCCGCCCTCCGCTCCAGAACCCTCGGCCTCAACCCCGTCGTCATCGAAAAGGAAGCAACACTCGGCGGCGCGTCAGTGATCTCAGGCGGCGGCCTCTGGATCCCAGCAAACCCGGTTTCCAGAGCAGCAGGCATAGCCGACTCCAAAGAAGATGCCCTCGCATACTTTGACCAAGCCGTCGGGGACGTTGGGCCCGCCTCGTCGCTGGCGAAGCGCAAGGCCTATCTGGATAATGGACCACAGATGATTAGCTTCCTGAGGGACCTTGGGTTTGAATGGAGATTTAGTAGGGGGTATCCGGATTACTACCCCAAGATGAAGGGCGCCATGGGCAAAGGAGGCGGGAGGACTATTGAGTCTGTCGCCTTTGATACCAGGAAGCTCGGGAAATGGCGAGACGCGCTGCCGCCTGCAAACATACCCGTGGCAATCCACGGCGAGCAGGCACCCTGGATCACAATGATGACGGCTTCTCTCCAAGCCTTCATCAAGTCAACTCGCATCATGTTACCCATCATCGGCAAAACCATTTCCGGACAAAAGCTCGTCAGCCTAGGCCGCGGGCTCATCGCCCAGCTTCTATTTCTCAACATCAAACACTCAACCGATATCCGCCTACGGACTTCCCTCCTAGACCTGACCGTCTCCCAATCAGGAAAAGTCACCGGTGCAAAAGTCAGACTCCCCGATGGAAGCACCAGAACCATCAAGGCGTCCCGGGCCGTCATCCTTGCAGCAGGAGGCTTCGCGCACAACAAACCTCTCCGCGAGAAGTACGGCCCAATTCCAGCCAGCACATCATGGACCAACTCGCCCAAGAGCGACACAGGCGACGCCGTCATCGCGGGGCAGACACTCGGCGCAGCGACGGCGTTGATGGACGATGCGTGGTGGGGGCCGACCATCTTCGACCCCGTTACGGGGAAACCTCACTTTGCGCTTATAGAGCGATCTCGACCGCACTGTATCATCGTCGACAACGCCGGTAAGAGATTCATGAACGAGGCGCAGTCTTATACGGATGCCGGGCACGATCAATATGAGAGGAACAAGTCTGTAAAGGCGATTCCAGCCTGGTTGATCATGGATACGAACCACCGGAACAGATACATGCTCGGCACCCAGCTATTTGCGAGAATGAAGCCCAAGAAGCCGGTCGCGGATGGAACAATGTTCGCGGCAAGCACTCTTAGAGACTTGGCGAAGCAGATTGGAGTCGACGCTGAAGGTCTGGAAGGCACCGTCACGAGGTACAACGACATGTGCAAGACTGGCATCGACGAAGACTTTGGAAAGGGTGACAACGCATACGACAACTTCTTTGGTGACCCTGCCGCTGGCGGACCGAACCCAAACATGGGAGCATTGAGCAAAGCACCGTTCTATGCTATCGCCATCTGGCCGGGCGACTTGGGGACCAAGGGGGGTCTCCTGACTGATGAGCATCAGAGGGTACTGAAGGAAGCCGGTGAGGCAATTCCTGGGCTGTATGCAATTGGCAACACGGCGGCGAGCATCATGGGACGGACGTATCTGGGAGCTGGATCGACTTTGGGTCCTGCAATGACGCATGGCTTCCTTGCCGTCAACTACATTGCCGAAACCTGAAAGACCGGCTCTACTGGAAAGTGTCTACTATGCGAGTCTCACTCATTGGGAATTGATTTGCATCATTCAGTGAGCTTCAGGTAGCATTGCGGGTGATGATGGTGTGTTTATACTGGCTTCAAGTGAGGTGAGAGTACGCATAACAGGAACATAGCAGGCTGTATTTAACCATCAGCATCATGTATGTACGTTGCCAAGGCGGAATTTCAGATCATGTGAATGGAAGCAGTCGCGTATGATTGCATGGTCTCGCTCGCGATGTCAACGCCCTCCATGCCATCCATCGACCCTTGGATCACGGATAAATCCAAATAAATGATACCATCAAAGCAAAGCGAATCTTCAACATGAGCACATCTACTCTATGCCATCATCTCCCCTCGTGTGCGTCGTCAGTCTCTACGCCGGTCTAACAGCCTCTAGCACAACTGTTTGTGTGACTCTAGTGGGGTCGCTTCCGGGGTGGCAACGACGTCTGGTGTCGAAGTTCCCGAGTGTAGCTTGTCGTAGTCGGTTGAGTCGACACTGTTTTTATCTGACTTTTCCGACTTTGAGTCTTCATTTGTCTCATCTTTATCGTTTTTGTAGCCTTCAGTCGCTTCTTCCGTCTTCTCAGTCACGGATGCGTCGATGTCAGCAGCTTCTGCGCCGTCGGGCTCAAGCTTTTCGCGCTCTCCGCCCGCGTTCACCTGGGCGTTGTCGATATCGGCCTCTCCCTTCTTGCCCATGCCACCCTCGAGGAGCTCGCCACCTTCCATGACGACACGCACTTCGAGGTCCTCATCCATGGAGTAGACGCGCACTCCCACGATGCAGATGGCGTTCCAGGGATCAGGCAGACCCTCCTCCTCTGATTCGTAACGCTCGTCATGTCTTTTGGGTGGTCCTGCAGGAGTGAGGCGTGGCTTTCTGACCATGTCATCATCACTATACAACTCTTCCCAGTCTTCGATGGGAGAGTCGGATGAATCGCCATCTGAGTCGTAAGACTTCTGCGCAGGTGGCGCAGGAGCGGGAGCTGGGGTAGGAGCAGGGGCAGACTTGTCTGCAGGCTTATCCTCAGCGGCGTCCTTCTTGACTTCATTCTCAGACTCTTGCTTGGACTCCTGCTTGCCTTCGTCCTTAGACTCTTCCTTGGTCTCATTAATGCCATCTGACTTGGAGTCGCCTGCAGCAACGTCCTTGGACTCCTCCTTTGACTCATGCTTGGATTCCTCCTTGGCTACGTCCGTCTGGACGGCTTGATCCTTGGGCTTCTCTGCATCCTTCTTCTTTGCCTCTGCCTCTTCCAAGATCTTCGCTTCTTCAGCCTTCTTGGCTTCCGCGGCGGCCTTCTGAGCCGCCTCGAGATCAGCCTTGACCTTGGCTGCTTCCGCCTTCTTGGCAAGCTTGCGGTCGCGCTTCTCGTTGTTCTTCTTAGTCTGCTGCTTGGTGACTTCGCGGTTGGTGTGACGTCTCTCCCAGAGTTTGCGGCGCTCCTTTTGGCGAGACTCGGAAGCTCTCTGCTGCTCCTTGATCTTTCTCAGCCTGGCGACCTCTTGAAGATGGGCAGTGCCCTTGCTATGCGCCAAGTCGTACGCGGCACCAATCTGTGCCAGCTTGTCGTTCTCAACGCGCTTCTTGCACTCACGCTTGACCACATCTTCGACAGAGGAAATATTAGTGTCTCTTTCGCCAGTGACACTCATGAAGATGCTATACTCTCCGGCTGGCATGTCAGGCAATTCGATAGAGACGGATCGGTCCATGAGATAGTTGCCGTGGGAGCGTACGATGTAGTCTTCGGCGCCGGGGCGGTCTCGCTCGTGTATACGGAAGTGGATGCGGAAAGAGTACTGGCCCTGAAGTCCCTTGAAGTATCTCGTGTCAAGTTGAGTCAGAACTAAGACTAGCGGCCCATCCTTGGATAGCTTGACCTGGAACTTCTCGTTAAATTGGGATTTCCAGGGCACCTCGACTCCAATCCAGCGCTGGGCGCATCTCCAGGCGGGGTCACGGAACAGCCTGGTCCTGTCGATATGCTGGAATTTGCGTAGGAAGTCATCGTAGTTGATCCAGAAGACAGAGTCATTGCCAAAATGATGACCGAGCTCCTCCTGGACTTCCATGGTCCATTCTTTGGAGCCATCGGACCAAGCACCTTCCCACACGCCCTTGCGGATCTTGCCCCAAGGGTTGCGGAGCTTGATCAGACGCTCTCCAGATTTGAGCGTCCTAGCTTCCATGATAACGTATGCATGGCCTTCCGAGATGCCATTTCTCTCACCATAGCCTCCATCTAGGAGACCGGTAGAGCAGCCGAAGAGGAACTCCTCATTGACTTTGGCAAGTTCGTTTTCCCAGAAACCCTCGAGATCAAGAATATCCGAAGTAAGCAGCTCGGTTGTGACACCACCCGAGAGGTCTTCCAATCCCTCGCCGATCCAACCGCCAGCCAACGAGGCGAAGTCACCGTGTGCCTTGGCATAAGCCTTTTCAATCAGAGGCACCCAAGTCTCGTTCTGGTCCTTGCACTGAGCAAAGAAGAGGGCCTTGGATCCGGTTTGATAGGTTTTGCGGTAGACACGCTCAACGTCCTCTCGGTCGATTTGCTGAAGTAGATCGCGCTGCATACTCGGCGAATCCCAGCAAGGAGACTTCAGGTACAGCTTGTCGTCGATAATGGAGTAAATCCACTCACCATCGCGGTAGAAGACAAAGCCGTAGATGCCGATGCGGGTGTCGTACTCAACGCAGATGCGCTGAATCCCGCCCTCAACGTTGGCGAGAGCGGTCAGCGTAGCCATCAACCAGCAGTCCCCGAGGCTGCCCTGCTTCACATCTCCGCCATTGACGTTCTTCAAGAAGGTTGGCTTCTCGAAAATCTCGTGAACTCGCTTTACTGCCTTGGGGACAGATGCGCTTGGGTTGGAGAGAGTCGTTCTGGAAAGTTGCCATTTGGTATAGCCGAGCGTGTTGAGACAGTGACCCTTTTCCCACTTCAAATCCCAGTCCTGAGTGGCCTGTTAGCTCCCCAAGTTCGAATTAGCAAGCATTGGGGGTGGAGGTAACTCACCAAATCCCAACCAGGGTCCCGGTATCGCATGTTGACTCTACGACATTCTTGGATAATCTTCTTCACTTTCCGGCGGCACTCCTCGACAGCTCTTTCGTATCCAGCACTAAGCAACTCATTGGGCTTTT